CCGCCTCGCTGCCGCCGCGCGACCGGGTCCCGCGCGCCGCGGCGGGCGATGGCGCTGCCGTTGCAGCCGTCACTGCCCCTGTCCCTGCCCGCGGCCGCGGCGGCGCTGGCGGCCCTCGCCGCCCTCCTCTTCGTCCTGGTGAGAGTCGCGCAGCGCGGTCACGGCGGGCCCGGGGGCCTCCGTGGCGAGGGCGGTGCGCGGGGCCGCTCCGTGCTCGCCCCCGCGGTGCAGAGCCGGGGCGCTGTCCGCGGATCCTGTCTTTGCCGGGGGGTCCCCGGGGGGGGCTGCGGCGGGCCCAGGCAGGGCTGGCCCAGGTTGGGGGCAGCGCGGGTGGCACCGGGAGCCGTCCGGGCAGCAGCTGGCGGGGCTGCGCTGGTGCGGGGGTTGGGGCGAGCGAGGCGTCCGGGGACCTGCGGAGGGGATAAAGACGCCTTGGGAAGTGTCCTGGTAACGCCCGTTCCCGGTAACCGTTTGGGAGGTCGCTGTGTCTCTGCGTGGCTGAAATACCCGGCAATTTGCAGAAGTTGGACACCCTAGAAGGCGGAATTCTGCTGCCTGTCCGCAGTGCCACGTATGCTTCCCGCCCGGGGAGATGGTGGAGGCACCGTCCCTGGAGGTGTTTAAGGAAAGACTGGACGTGGCGCTCAGTGCCGTGGTCTACTCAGCGTGATGGTGTTCGGTCTCGATGTTGGACTCGATGATCTCAGAGGTCTTTTCCAACCTAATTGATTCTGTGATTCTGTTCGTGGTGTCACCAAATTAAGTCCTCCAAACCGCAAGTTCTATGGCTTCATTTTAACCATTCATAAGGCCATCAGAGCCTCTGTTTTGCAAGCGCATGTGGGTGGCCAGTCACAAGCCATGCCCTTGATTTCAGTGGGGCAGGGGGGGATCAGAGGCAGCACCAGCATGTGTGCTCTGGATTACTTGGGAACGGGCAGTGGGGGCTTGGACCACGACTTTGGAGGCATCTGCATACTTTGCAGTCGAAAATAGCAACAAGCCAGTGATGGTGACAGTGGTCAGACTAGGAATAACCAAATGGCATGAGGGGATTTTGGTCCTCTGTGATTCAGTCAGTGGATGAAGTTCCACGCCATTGACCCACCGCATTACTGAAAAACAGTTGCCTTTTGTAGAACATTCAACAGCTCGGTCAACTTCTAACAGAATGCTCAACAATTTTTCTTATTTCTTTTTCGTCACAGATTTGTGCAATTGCTCATGTAACTGCCAAAAAAATGCCAACCCTTCACCGACACGAAGAAGAGAAATTCTTCGTAAACGCTGAAGGCAGGAAAGAACCTCTACCAAGTGTACATGATCCCCCTACAAGGGAACTCTCTGTTGTTGTGCCTTCATACAATGAGGAAGACCGGTGTAAGATTTTTCTTGTTTTGAGGAAAAGAAGAAAATCTATCTGTTGTTACTGTAATAATGCAGAGGTCAGTTATGTTTGGGGTAGATTCTAGCAGGCCAGATTATGTATCAGATTTTGGAAACAGTTTCCAGAAAATAGTCCAAATACATTGAATTTCAAAATTAAGGCATTGTGTCACTTGATTTCTGCTGCTAAAAATAAGAATCCTCTCTATTTTAGTGAACCTCAGAAGAATGGTTGTTCATTGCCTCTGTAAATGCTGCAAGGCAAGAAGTAAAAAAAGACTTTTAAAACTGATTTGAGAGCTTCCCACTCTTTAAACAACAGCAACTTCAGATGAGCAGAGAAAGGATGATCTCACACGTTTGTGTTTGACTTTGCAATACATACAAGTATACAAGTACCTGATACTGAGGAAGGGCTTTCAGGTGTGATAGAAATAATCAAACATGGTAGTACAGAAGCTGTCAGCTTGCTTAAATAGATAAAGTCAGTGCTGGTTTTCAGGGTCAATCATGAAGTATGATTTCTTTTTTTTTTAATCTTGTGTAGAGAATTACAAATTTCAAAATGAAAAGTTGGTTCCTCAGAAGAAATGTTTTTATCCTGTCTTTTATCATGTACGTGATTTTCTTCAGTGTTCTTTTTGCATTCAGAAAGGACAGCACTTAGAGTTGCAGCTGCTAAGCTTGTTTGCTGAAGGTAGTGTTGTATGAAAGAGTCGATTTGCTCAGCTTTGCTTTGTGGTTGCTCTCAGCTTGCTTGTGCAAGTACTTTTGGTGCTTTGCCTGTTATAATCTACTAACCTGACCTCCTCCGCCTTTTCTCTAGTACCTCTTATGATGGATGAAGCTTTGGATTATCTAGAAAAAAGACAGGTATTTTCTTTTTGGATTCAACATTTTTTTGTTGTGTGTATTACGTATAATAAGTTATTGATCTAGTCACTTTGTTATGTTGGTGTACATTAAACGGTAATACTTGACCACTTAGAAGTAATGCTTAGGTCTCTTAGTTATTTTTAGATCAAGTGCCAAAAAGTATTTTTAAATTAAGTAAACATTTAATATACTGTTATGGGATGAAGAAATCTTCATGTGAATGTTACCCTTCCAAGACAAAGCTAAGGATTAGCCATACATTTAACTTTCTAAACTAAATCCTAGCTTGTTCCAAGAAGTTTCATAAGTATCTGTTCTTCATTTTGGTTTGTTCTCTGGGTAAGAAGCCCATTGTGAAAGTTTGTGGATATTGTTCTGTTTGGATTTTCTTAACAGTGATGATGTTCTGAGTGTTCCATTTTTTACAACTGAATTGATTTTTGATTTCTGGATGGTAGCATGACAACCCAGCGTAATGGTATGTTCATCAAATATGGCAAAATTCTTTAATTATACCATGTGAACAAATTTACTATATCATATTAGTGTTCACTGGCAACCATAAATAATTTGAAACCTGCTAGGGAGAAAAGAATAATGATGTTTGAAAGACCTACTGCCTATTTAAGAAATTGGATTAAATGTATTATTTCTGTTTTTATTTTCAAGAAACGAGATCCTTCATTCACTTATGAAGTGATAGTGGTTAATGATGGTAGTAAAGATCAAACTACAAAGGTAAGAAAACTGAAGTGCCTTCCCAAGCATCAGGGGTGTCGGGTTTTTTGCTACATTTGTGGAATATAACAAATTTTCGCATTTATATTTTGGTACTTGAATAGTTGACAATTGAAGTTCATATTTCCGAGTACTTTCTGTCATTCTATATGCATCATGGATGTCACATATGCATATGAATACACATAATTCTTTTGCAAATTCTGGTTTTCTTGATTGGTGACTGTGACAGCCATTTTCCTGCAGCTGCGATTCTCAGAATTCTAATCCTAACGTCAAGAAATTTCTTGTGAAATACTCTATATATGCATAGTGATGATGTGAATATGAACTTTAGAAAGCTAAAAAGTCCTTTAAAATACTCAATTCATACTGTGATTGGCAGAACATCTGACATAGTTCTTCCTCATACCCTTCATGGCATTGTTTCTTTAAAAATCCCTGTGGCAGTAGTAGTATTTTCAAAATAGTTTTGTATTCTTCTGGTTTGACTTTGATGTACGTCACTGGAAAGGAAGGCTTGCTAACTTGAGGGCTTTTCTTACTGCTTGGAAGATGTTTGAGGTAGCTACTAAAATGTGTACTGCTTTTTGGTTTACTTTCCTTAAGCTCGTCCATTAAGGATTGCTCGTAAATATTTTTTACTACTGCACATTCCTTCTGGCATCTCCTTTAACTGAGCATACAGTGGCTGCAGGCCTCTGGACTTACAAGGACTCAAGACAACCTTTAGAAAAAATTAAGAGGAGAAAACTCATGCTTTGTCTTCCTCACAGCATGGAATAAAATCTGCAGATCCTTGCAGTGTGAGTGGGATTTTAGATCAATGTGAATTTTTGTTTAAAACCACAAATAGCAGCAAGACAAGTGATAAATAAGTGGCTGTAGTAGAAAATTGTATTTCTTTTATTAACTATTGGTGTTAATATGAAAGGTCTGTAATAGTATAAATTAGATTAGGATTGAGTTTTTTAGAGATGGGAGGATGGGGTTTGGAATATCCTGTTCTTTTGAACATGACTGGTTTCTTCAGTCTTCTTGTTTTGACTTTGAATTGGTTTTTATTTTCCTGAACAGACTCCAGCGAACACTGGCAATGTATTTGTGCCGACTGAAGTGGTTGTAGCTCTGTGCTGTTAATTTATTTTCTTTTAAAGGGTGAGCAAATGTAAACTTCTACCTTGATTCCTCGGTTTGTTTTATGCTGGTTTTTTGTGTGTCTATCAGGTTGCAATGCAGTACTGCAAGAAATATGGAAGCGACAAAGTGCGAGTACTTTCTTTGGTAAAAAATCGAGGGAAAGGAGGAGCAGTCAGGATGGTAATTGATGCTTTCATCTCCTTCTCTGTTTGAACTACCCCATATGCAGAAGACAGAGCTGTGCTGATTGACATTTTGAATTCAATGCATTAACAAAATGATTATGAGAAAACTGAGTACAGATTCTATAAATTAAAGCAAAACCTGTTTTTCAAAATAAACTTATTTGAGATCTTGGAAACAGTATTGTCTTGCCAGAAAGATCAATAGTGAAGACAATTTTTTATATGAGATTTCAAAGGGAAAAAAATACTTGAATTTCGTATTTATGTTAGTTCCACTTAGGAATAGGCTTGTGTTTATAAAAGCCAACCAAATAAAAAACACCCAACCAAACTGTTACAGATAAAAACTAAGGTTTTGTAGACAAAATAGAGCCAAATTTGCAAACTTTGCTCTCCAGGTCATAGATGTGTTTTTTAAAATGGCTAATAAAGAAGAATTCTCATCCAGCAAAGTTTGTGTTTACTGAAGCCCACTGTTATCACCCACACTCGATAGCAGAAACAGCACAATTGATGCTTTCACACAGACGTTATCCTGAAATCATCATGTCCTAAAAATAAAATAGCTGTTACACATTTAGAAGGAATATTTTTTCCTTAGATTACTTTTATGAAAAAGGGTGGTATCATCTGTGGGTTATCAGTGACTTGTCTTTTTCTGTGTTTTAAGCTCTATCTTTAATACGTCAGTTTTATTTTTTTATGAAAAATGAGTAAATATAGGAAAAGAAGAGAACATTATATTAAAACATCTGGAACTTTTGTAAACTATATACTTATTTCAAGAGAAGGAGAAAATTCTCTGTGTGATACAGTCTTGCAGTGCAGAGTGTAGAGTGGATGTGTATACAATACTTCCTTGACAGGGTTTTCCAAACTCACACCTCCTGGGCTGCGACAGTACTTTGGTCAAACCCGCTGCTAATTGTTTTCCTGTCTGGACCCCTTCAAAAATTTTGAAATTTGTCTGACAAATTTCAAAATGGCAAAACTGTCTGTGAGACCTGTGCATCACAAATGTTTTGTAGTGATACTGTGACTTAAAACTGAATCTTAAATTAGTTTTGAGAAGTAGCTCATGAATTCTCTTGAAACAATGTTGGGAAAAACTAGCACTGCATCCTCCTTTCCATAGCTCAAATGACAAAGAAAAGCCATCCAGTGTAGTGGTAGCTGCTAATCACTGCTTCTTGTGCTCCCCTCTACAGCTGACTGTAGGAACTTGTTGACTTTCAGATTTTGGGTTGTAAAGCTTTTAGTTTGCAACTCTCTCTTCAGAGGGATTGTTAGCCTTTTGTGTTCATGCGTTGTCTGTCACTGGACACTATGCAGTGTGTGAATTCTCTAGATGTTATTATAATATAAATTGGTAAATTGTTGTTAGTAACAGAATATTAAGACTCACCTGTTGTGTTGAATCTGTAAGATATCACTGTTCTTCTTACTACATTAGGTTTTTGGAGTCTTTTGCACCTAGCTTGTGACAAATACTGGTTTCAAAAGTGTTGATTTTTATTGACTGTTTTCATTGCAGGGTGTCTTTAGTTCTCGGGGGAAAAAAATTCTTATGGCTGATGCAGATGGAGCTACAAAATTTGCAGATATTGAAAAAGTAGAAGAAGGCCTAAAAAATCTCCAACCATGGCCTGTGAGTATAAATTCTCATGGCTTTAGTTTAATACACATGCACAGAGATTTGTAATTCTCAACTTGAGTTTTTTGAGGTCTAGTTGAAGATGTAGATGTAAGTCTGAAGACCTCTGTGTAAGCTTAGAAACCTCAAGAATGGGCTGTATGAAGGAGCTTCCACAGAGTTCTTAACTCCTTTGCATTCACTGTACCTACTTCAATGCAGTACAGAATGTTTTATTTATCCTTCCTTTAAGTTCTTTGAAACTGTTCTGTTCTGTATAAATACCATGTGTTGCCTCCTTAGTTTTCTTTGTTAACTGGTTTTTATTTCCATTTTGTCTGATGTCATCCTGTATACCTTTAAGGATGCATCCTAATTTCACCCTCTTCTAAAGAGGTTTTGTGTTCTCAGGGTCCTTAGCTAAATGACAGTATTTGGAAGAGCTTTTATTGTAAGAAAAAATTCAAAAACCTGTGGAACAAGAACACCTTCCTGCATAGTTATTCTCTTTTGGGAGCTTAACTTGAAAGAACTGAGGTTTGTTTTTTGCTTAAACACAGGTGAGTGAGGTACTTGTAGCTAGTTTCCCAAAGGCCAGAAGTGATACGCAGCCTTCCAGCTAGAGCTGCAAGGGATGTGCCTGTGGAAAGGATCGTGGTCTGTGACTGCAGAAGCACAAGTGCAGGAGCCAACAGGCAACAGTGTGACTCTGATGGTCTTTGCTGCCAGGGCAGCAGCAGCTGCTGCTTCTCCAGCATCAGTCCCACACTCTCAAACAGTATATTTGAGAGATTTCATGTGAGAAATAGTAGCATGAGAATAATGCTAAACCTTTTGTTTTCATCGCCTTGGTTTAATTTGAGGTTATATTTTTGCCTAACACTATGTCATTTTATTTGTTTGAAGATACATCAGTGCAAAAAGTACTTTATTCTGTTACCCATTTCACAATATTTAAAGAAAACATTCAGTTCCTAGGAATACTGCATGCTTATCTGTGCTAAGCACATACACTGTATGCATACAATAAACAATGTAAGCTAAACCAAACTGGAATAAATTGAAGCAATTTGTATGCACCATATGCAAATTGTAATAAACTTTAGATTATCTGTTAACTGTAGAGAAGACTGATTTAGGCTAAGAATTCAGGAGTAAAAGAGGTGCAGCTAGAGGAAGCATAAAAGTACACTGCTTTGAAGTTTTTTATTATATGGTTCTCAACACAAGATTCCACTGATTCCAAAAATACTAGTTAAAGTAATAACTCTTTATTTTATATTCCTGTACAGAACCAGATGGCTATTTCCTGTGGTTCTAGAGCTCATCTGGAGAAGGACTCAGTAGCAAAGGTTTGTTTCCATTTCCTGCTGTGTACTATTACCCAAATACTTCCATTGTTTGTTTCTGCCTTACAGATTTTGCAATTAAATAATCAATATTTGTAAAAGAATGGAAACTGAAAATAAGGAAAAGAATGTCATAAGTGTAGGATGTGCTCTGTCATATGCAGAAGATGTGTTCTAGATTTCAGGCACTTTTTACTGGTTTAAGTTACTTTTCCAATTTATAGATTTAATTTTTTTAGAAGCAGAGCTTCTAAACCCTGACAAAGTTTGTAACTAGTAACCAGTACTGGGACTAGAGTGGAAGGAAACTGATGAGTTCATTATTACTGATTCCCTTCCAGTGCAAGAGCTTGACTTGCAGATCTTGAAACTTGTTTAAAGTCAGTTAGGGATAATTAGCAGCCGACTGTTTGAAGAGTATCTCAATTCGTGGGAAACTGGTGTAATTTTTCTGTATTACTCATTGTAAAATTTTTGAGTTTTGAACACACAGACCGTACTGTTCTGTGTGTGGCTCTTGTGGAATAAACAGTAATGCATAGGCCCATGACCTTATCTTGAATCTGGTTTTCTGATGTCTTGGCAGAGAGTAGTTGACAAAGTACAGATATGGGACTTGTATTGCAACGAACGCATTATTGGGCTCATGTTTTCAGCATCATTGGATGTACTCATCATGTTGAATGTTTTCAAGAGTAAACTTTGTTTATGCTAATCTTTAATACTTGAAATAATTCTAAAATGTATACACGACTACTAAAATAGTTACAAAAGTTCAAACAGGTTACACTGATAATGTTCAGAAATTTGAGCCCAGAAAAAATGCTTCATTTTATGGTCAGGTTCTGATTGTAGATAAACTTTCTTTACTGCATTCATATTTCTTTTCATCTTTGAAGGTTTTGCTACATAGGGGAAAGCAATTGGAACAGGACTTTTATCTTTTAATACAAAAGTACAATTTTTAGGATGTGTCCATACTTTGTTTCCTGTTTCTCCTCGTATTTCTGACTTCAATAAAGGAATCACCAACTGGTTACGTAGTACTGATTTGTTTAAAATATGTAGCCCATTTTGTTTTGTCATGCAGCTGTCCCTAGTCTGACAGAGAAAGACTACTAAAATGGGAAGAAAATACCTATTGTATAGTGCAATAGGTATAAAAAAGTTGCAGAACAATCTTTTCGATGTTGGGATTTCCCTCTGGACTTAGTGGCATTTAAAACAGTAGAATGAAGCTGTGATAAGCAGCTGTATGGGATTTATTGAGACCAGAATTTTACCTTAAATTCAGTCTGAAGACATCAAGAATTCTGTTCTGCCTCCAGAATTGTTAATGTACTTTAGTTAATCCAAAATATTACATGCATAAATAGTCTTAGTAGTGATAATCATAATTCAGGAACTCCTCTTTGTGAAGTCTTTTGTCACTGTCTGACAATCATGCAACCTCTTAGCACTTCCCTTCTTACACTAGTGGCAGCCTTGTGTTCTTGGTTGCAGAGCCAAAAGAACCAAAGAAACCACACCAGATTGACCATTAACCTGGGACTGGAGCACTTTTTGAAAGGCACAAGCTATGGATTTTGATTTAAGTCAAAGGCTGTTACATAATAAACTGAGCATCTTCTCATTTTTCAAATGAGGTTCTAAATTGTTAGGTTTGAAGGCATCTCTTTTCACCCAGAGATGCTTACCAGTTAAATTGATGGCTCCTAAAGATTTTATATGATATTTGGCTTGCAGTCTTAGATACAATCACTTAAATTGAGCTTAAGGCCAGCAGTGAGTTCAGCAGTGATTTGTATATCAGAGTTCTGGTTGTTTAGGAACTATCTTGAATAAAAGACTAAGAACGACCTCTGCAAATCCAGTCTCCAGCCTCTGGAGTCCATGGACAAACTTATCCATATGATTATTGCATCAAGAACAAAAGTGAAACCAAAGAGCAGGCTGGGAGAACATTTACCAGGAACATAAAATATATCTGTGAAAGCAAAGGAACAAAAGAGATGACTGTGTAACATTGCTGAAAATATAAAATGAAATATTATCTTGCACAGTACCCTTTACTGTAGGCCTGGTTTTTACTTGGTCCGTTGTGTACTGCAAAAAGTTGCATTCTTCAGTTGCGTTCTCTTAAGTGCCTTAACATGGTGTGTGCAAACTCTGGCGATCATTTAGTCTTGAATGAAAGAAGTGGATGGCAAATAACAAGAGATGCTCCCATTTGGGTTTTTTAATAATAAAAAACTTTTTTCAATTTTTTTGTTGGATTAACAGCTGGAACCTGTTTAGTTTAACTGTGTATTCTTAAGAGTAGCACTTTATGGAGTCCTACTGGATTATTATTTATGGAGTCCTACTGGATTATTATTTATGGAGTCCTACTGTCTGTCCTGGTAACTTTTGAATCTTTTGCATCTGTGCAGCCAATTTTTAGAAGAACAAGAGGACTAGACAGAGGGAAAAAATAGCTTAAAAATGTCCAGTGAAGTAGAGCGTGTAACATGCCATCCTCTTCCTCCTTCACTCTACTTTTCCTTGGGGAATTCCCAAAGAATCATGCAGAAGATGCTGTGGCTGTCCCACTCATTATTTGAAATCCAGGTGCAGGTTCCTGCTTTACTTAATAAAGCATTATTCCAAGTGAAAAGCTGCTGTGAATTGGGGAAAGAAGAAAAAAGAACTTGGACTTCTCCTATCCTAGAGGGCACTTGGCTGGCAAGTCTTTCAGCTGTAGTTTTGTTTCACTGTAACAATTGATAGGTTCTATTTTCATTCCAGTGCAAACCAAAAACAGTTTACAAACTTTGAAAGCTGTCACAAAACAGAATTATTGTCCTGTAAGACAGCTCTGTTCAAGCACTTCACTCATCACTTAAATGAAACCATCTAACTTACTGCGTTTTGTCCACAGCGCTCCTACTTTCGAACTCTCCTTATGTACGGCTTCCACTTCCTTGTTTGGTTTCTCTGTGTCAAAGAGATCAGGGACACACAGTGCGGATTTAAACTTCTAACCAGAGAAGCTGCCTTGCGGACTTTCTCAACTCTTCATATAGAACGCTGGTAAATTGTTCCTTTTTTTTGTTGTTGCAGGGTTTTTTATAATTGAACGTGGTTTTGAAAAAATAATTTTAGTATTGCAGCTACTATGAAGCATGTTATGTCTGTGTATAAATCCTAGCTGCTCAGTTTAACCAGTTGTAGTACTGCTTACATGGCAGCTTAGATTTCTTGTTGTGTTCAAATATCCTGGTAATTGCTAGAAATTCTATATTTTTTACAATTCAGTACTGCTTAAGCAAAACATTTTACCTAGAATCAATATCTAATGTTTGTAATTGCTCAAGACTCAAGTGAAAGCAAATGCCTATTCTTTACTTATTTTCTTGCTAAAATATTTGATGAGAGGACTACTGATAGATATCATAAGTCTAAGACAACAGAAGATGATTCATAGTCTTTGAATCACTTTAGAGCTCCTTTTGTTGTAATTTAGCTAGAACAGTTCCCTTATGAGAGTGATATAGTGATGAGTACTGTTATGGGGACTAAAACACTGTTTCCACACAATTGCTACAGTTTCTATAAATTTCCCGCACCCCAACTGTTGCTTAAAAGGATAGTTTAATTATGTATAATCAAATATTTTCAAATTGTTGTCTTCATTCAAGAAAATCTCTCGTGAGCTACTGCTTGCTGGCAGGGAACAGAATTACTGAACAGTGTTCCTGTACAAAAATGTGTGCAATCCTACAGTAGCTAGTCAATTCCAATACATCTAGTTTTAGGCTGAGGTTTGGCAGAGATAGTTGAGCTACACTGCTCCTCCAGAATGAAATTGCAAAGGTAGTGTTTGGGCACACAAGTGTGGAACACAGACCTTCTGTTGTATGGAATCTGTAACTGTGTGCAGTCAATGTTCAGAAAATCACTTTTCTACTGGAGTGGTTTGCTTATCACTCTAAAGGAAACTGTAACTGAGCCAGAAGTATGGTTTGTGCTGCTACCTCCAAACCCTATTTAACTTCACTTTAATAAATTAAGCTCTTCAAGAAGAAAATGGAAAGAAATAAATTAGGATAATCAGTTTAAGCTGTAAAAATGCAATCTTAAATTTTATTCTTTTTTAAACTGAAGATTCTGATTGTAATTGCACTTACTGATTATATAAAGTGTTTTCTACAGAAAAAATCTTAGTAAGCTTTCTTCTGCTGCTTCAATTCTCTAGCACCAAAGGAATGAAAGAGTAAAAATAATTGTTCTGTACCCCATTATCTGGGAATAGAGGCAAAGAAAAAAGGATATTGCTAACTTATTTTATAGTAATTATATTATTGATGTGTAACAAACCAGATCTTCATATCTTAATTCATTGTACCTTGTATGTACTGCTATAAAATTTGCCTTCTATTCTAGCTTTGTTATTTACAGTAATGCAAAAACTAATCCCCTGTGTGTTTTCTTATTTATCAAAATGTACTACTTAATGATGAAGTATGTTTGTTTTGTTTGTCAAGGAAAGAATTTGTCAAATTTGTCAAATTCTTCTAATAAAGAAGCTATTCAGATAATTCCAATTCACAAATTTGCAACAATAGTTGGTTTGGGTTTTTTAGTTTGGTTTAATTTTCCACTAAAACAGGAAATATATTGTCTGGTTTTATCTTTATCTGTCTGTTAACAGTTTCTGTGTTTCCCTACCTTCATTTTAATATTTATTGGCTAATTTTAACAAATCTGACAACAGTAGAGGTTTCAAGATCAAAAGCTTTGGCGAGTTTTGTGGAAACTGAAACCCTCTTAGAGGAGAGAAACCCAGTGCTGAAGAAAAAAAAAACTACAATAAGGACTCAAAAGTAACTTTCCAGCTTCACAACTAGTCATTTCACGTGTGTATCTTGTCAGTGAACAAAACAGAGTACTGTCCCTTTCCCAGTTAATATTTATAAGATCTGGAAATAAACAGGGGCATGGGGAAGTATATGGAAAGAGTGGGTAAATTAAAGGAAATGATAGTCCTAAGTGAAATGTCAGTGTTGTACAAACAAGTGGGATAATTGCAGTTGGAAATTATGTAGGGATACCAAGTAGTCATCCCATAGAACTTCCATTAGATTCTTTTTTATGTAATTATGTAAGAACCAGAAATAACCCAATAATGGAAAGCTTTTATTTTAAACAAATCTGACCCCTGATACCTTTCCATTGCATAACATGTGTGTAAAAAGGAAAATAAAAACTGATTAGATATTGTGCCATAATGGTTATGTATATACCACAAGTGTGCAAACATAAGAGTAAGGAATAAGTTGTCAGTATTGTATTTCTGCTGGAACCTGGAACAGCGTGGGGTCCCCAGCTGTGTCACAGAGCAGCTCATTGATACTGAGACCATCAACAAGGGGTTGCAGAGAAACCACTATCTTGATATTGGGTAAGAGGCTCTGAAATCTGGGTTTGTTACAGCCTCTGCATCACTGCACTGGGGCTATTCAACATGTGAAGAAATTATTTGATTCTCTTTGAGTCTTAAAATCCCACAAGTGAAGTGCAGCTCTGTTAGGTATTGAAAGAAGAGTTCAGGATGGTCAGTGCATAATGGAGGAGAGTGCTAGAGAATATTCAACAAACAAACAGCATTTAATCAAATAAAAGCCATCTGAGAGCAACCTGGGGCTTCCCACCTGCTGCACTGGAGCGTGTGGTGAACTATTGAAGGGAATGAACATGAGACTTCTGCAAAAACCAGGTCATCTGTCCTGTCCAAGTTTTGTCAGGCTTGGATTTTTTGGGGTACTACAGTGCTAGGTGAATTCTTGTGTGAGCACATAACAAATATTTAGACTAAAATTCATGAAAAACATGTTTACTCATGATGTTAATATAAAATCACTATAAAATCAGCTATCTAGTAATTCCTACCTGCTTAGACCTTCACTTTTTTATGCTTTCTTCATGCTTTTTCCCTTCCAGTGGACATTGATGGGAAAATCACCTCTTTAATGTTAAAAGTACTAGAAAACAGACCACATTTTTCTTCTTGCTATGGTGAATTTGATTTATAGATGCTTCTATTTAGGAAATTTCGAAAGCAAACTGAAGTATACAAGTAAAAATACACTTTTATCATTATGGCAATAAGGATCATGTAACACTTTTTTAAGAGAGACCAACATATTTCATAGCATATTAAAGTTTAGAAAGCATTTGAAAATTAATAGATGCTGCAAACTGTTTATATATTCAATATTAAGAAGTAATACTTAAATCCTAAGCTATCTTTTTTTTGTGAGTGTTCTCATTGTCTTTTTGTTTAACTGTCCTTTGGAGAGCTGGCTGTGTATAAATAAATACAAACCAAACATTCTTGAAATTTACTTTTCTAAATAGCAATGTTTTGACATTAGTTTGAAATGAGAACAACCTTTTGAGCAGAGAGCATATGCTTTGTGGTTTAGGTTCTGAATCTGATTACGCTATTAATCTTTTTTTCAGAAATGGATGGAGCACATATTTTAATTTAAAACTTAAAATTAAAAGAAATATTATAAAAACATAACAGAGACAGTTGTATTTACTCAGTTCAGGCTACAAAAGAAAGTCTAGTTCTGCATCTACAGTCTTGACCTGAGAAATGTAACTGTGTTAAATTCTGATGCACAGGAGAAATACTAGGCAATTAAATGGTCTCACTGGCAGAATTTTCCTATCCTAAATTTGATCATTGCTTTCTTCTGACAACAACAACAACAACAACAAAATTTCCTTCAAGCCAGAAAATGTCCATCCTTAGGAGAACTAGACATAGCAGCGATTACTGTCCTACCTGGCATAATGATAAAAGGAGGGGAAATTCAAAACATAGTTCTAGTCCTGGTTTGATCAACAAACTTTTTGAAGTGGCAATTTATAATGATATTACCCAAGCCAGCAGATCACTGATAAGATCAAGTTGTTGCTATTACTTTTGTCTATAAAAGTTGCCTTGTGCACTGAACAAACCATGCTGTTTCACTTTTAAAACTGGAAAGATCAATATAAAAAATTAAAAATTTGTTTCTCCAGTTTGTCGCTTATATCTAGATGTGAATCACTATATAAAAATGACAGAAAAATTAGGGTTCATATTGCCACAGGGGTTTTTTCCCTACTTCTTTGGCATTATAGATTAACACAAGCAGTGGAATGAATTTTTTACCTGGCTTTGTGCATGGCAAGTAGATTTGTTTATTAATGTCTAATCAACACAAAACCATTTTGCTATTTTAACTTTGTCTCTTTTGTCTTGTAAGAAGTCCTGCTCCTGGCAGACATATGTGGACTTTCAAAAGCCCCAGTTTAACTAGAGCAGTGCTGGCAGACTAACCCACTTGACATCCTGTTTCGTTCTTAGACCACTGGAGGTTTTCTCTACCTAGTAAGAGTTTACTGGAAAAACATATCTTGGGTGTACAAAAGTCCTGAATTCCAGTTAAAACTTTATAATATTAGTTATTTTGTAAGCTCAAGCATTTTAAGGGTTCAGTTTAAAAGGACTGAATTAATTAAACACCTACCAACTTGATGTTCAAATTAATTTTAGCCAGCATCGTCTTAAATTGTAACTTAACCAAAACACAACTACCTGGAGAATTTTTTCTTTATTTTACATTACATATTAGTGTTAACTAACATATAATAGAGCCACTGTTAGAAATAGATGGGGAAATTGTTCACACCATATATTTTTATGTGTCTAAATTTTTTGGATCTAAACTTAGATTGGAACCTGAATTCGTTCAAGCTGGACCCAAACTTAGGTATTCTGAGCTGTATGTCCCCCTTCCAAGAGGCACCTACTTTGAGTCTCTGCAGCAGGATGAAGTACATGGTGTGAGTAATACCTTTCTGTTTCAAAGAGTGGTTTTGACCCATGTTAACTAGTCACAAATGACTTCTTGGCTAATCACACTCACCAACTCATCCACTGATGTGGCTGTGGTCTCCTCTAGGACAGGCTTCATGTAACATATTCACCCTTAAATCCTGGCTGTGGAAGCTTTTATATGGTTCTTCTATACCGTCTGAATCTGGTGATCAGCAATGTGGGTGTAATGCTGTATTGAACACACTGTGGTCTGTATTCCCTGATTAACTATTCTGGTATACTGAAAGATGGTGAGGGAAAGGGAAGAAAGAAGATACCCAGTAATATTCTATTAAAGTCATTCTCCCTTCAGCTTTGATTAGGGGTTTTTTTTAATTTCAGGATATGTTCACTGTTATCCAAAGGGCAAGCACATGTAACAATATTAATGTTCAACCTGATTAATTTCTGTGCTTTTAATCTTTTACTTTGAGCACTGTAGTTCACAGAGCTATTTAATGTTGTTTTTTTGTGATGTATGTACTGACATTCCAGTAATCAGTTGTCCACAGGAATCGTTGCAAATAACTACTAGTTCACTAGGCTAATACTTTATGTAGTAATACTTTTAGAGGAACTCATATAATCTAATTCAGCAGACAATTATTCTGTGTCTTTTAAGATTTTTAATCATTTAAGTAGTAAGTATTACAAAATTAGATTTAGTCTTAATACACATGATTCATAAACATTCAAAGGTGAATACATGGGGGTTTTGGCTTACAGATGTAAAATGTCAGCAAAAAAATTAAATAATATAACTTCAGTCAAAGAGACTGTGGTGTAATTAATAAAATAATAAAATTATAATATTTCATATTTTAATGCTGTCCAGTGATATCAGTAGTTCTCCTGTAATGTTCATGGAGAGCACAAGTTCAGGTTGATACCTGTTTGCCCGTGATTTCACCAGCAAGCCAGCATGCTGTGGTCTGCACTTCAGTGGGAACCTACATGTGTATGTCATACCTAAGGGCATATTTCAAAGTTGACTGCTGTTGTTGCATTCATTAATAGTTTTACAGAAATACACTGCTAAAAAGGAGAGGGTGGCTTGAAGTAGAAGGAAATAACTTCTGAACCTGGCTACCAACCTGCTAAAGTATGTCTTTTTGCCTGCTCTTGATCACCTGTCTGTCTCTTTCTACCCTTTCTGTAATGTTAGATGGAATTACCAATGACTTAAATTCAAGCAACCCTTGCAGCATGAATGAATAACATGGGGGGTTTATTGCATACATTTTCTCCAGTAGCAAAAGATTTTTTTCATTTCAAAAGAAAACTGTCTTGGACTTAGCAATGAGAATTTAAGGAGAATCTAAGCTTATGAAGTTACTGAGAGAAAATGTGAACTAATATTGAATTGTACTTGACTGCCTCACAGGCATGTTTTCAAGACTCCTCTGTAAGCTGGCCTTGAACATCTGCTCCACTGACTTCAAACTGGGAATCTTACCAACAGCTTGGCTAAAATGTTTCCAGTTCCTTAACCTTAGTCTTGTGGGGTAAAAAACCCAAAACCTCTGTATTTGGATATGTTTTGAATCTAGTAGAAATTACATATGAAAGGCCATTGACAGCTTTCTTCCAATACAGACTAGTATTTTTAAAAAGCTGCTTACTTGGGGGAATAGGAGACTGTTTAGCCTAAATTCCAGTTATTAAAACTCATTTAAGGAAGAGGAACATCCCTAGTGGCATTTGAAGACTACAAAAAAAAAGACCTAGCAATCAATAAATCTAAGAAATTTAACAAAAATCACTAGAATCTTCATAATTATGATTTGCATTCACCCTTGTCAGTAGTAACTACTGGCAGTTTCATATGCTGATTTTTACACAAGGATTACAAACTGCCAAACTACTTGTCTAACATCAAAAGCTTCAGTGCTTCAGGTCCACAAGGCCCATTTGAGCATGTGGTTTCAAGAATGAAACACACAAACAATCCTCTGTGCAGAGAACTGAGAGGATTGAGGTATATTTTGTACAAAGTGAGCAGAAAAGGGCAGCTGACTTAGAGCAGGATCACTTCCCCAGTTCATTTTGCTGCACAACCTGCAAAAAATTGTGCCAGCAAAAAACGTAAGTGTCTCAAGAAGGTTTCTGTGTTGTGCTTTAAATGGTCACTGGATAAAGTAAAACTGTTGTTCAGGTCCTGTTATGCACAGTAACTTAGATCATTTCTCACTTCTGTGCTGCTGCCTTGAGTTTCTTGAGTTAGAAAGTACAAGGAGAAACCATCAGATCCACATAAAGCCACAGCACGTAGTTGTCCCCTTGGATGAAAGCCCTAGAGATGTGGAGTGACACTGTACGTTTGACTGCTTGGTCTTTATGGTCTTTAAAAATGTTTAAATCACGATAGTGGCCAGAATGAAAAGCAAGCAGTGGTCTGGATACAGCATGACCTTATACTTCAAAAACAGGATGCAGTGAAGCGTTGTTGTTATTGTTGTAATATTGTATATTGGCTGTGTTCTGAGATGTGCAGTCAGGGAAATAAATTTTCCTTCCTTGTGCATCTGACCTCTAGAGCACTAGTATCAACTGCATAATTGAACAATTAGTTCAGTTATGCACTTGATACCAATTAAATCAGGCAAGGGATTTAATTAACATTGCCACTGTCTTTCTTCTGGAAATAAATGTGACTGTATTTTCTATTTCCTGTTCTTCTTCAGGGCATTTGATGTGGAACTTCTTTATATAGCCCAGCGCTTGAAAATACCTATAGCAGAAGTTGCTGTCAACTGGACTGAAATAGAAGGTAGGCAAATTCTTTATATTCTTGTAAGATTCCTTACATGTCAATCCAGAATAAAGTAGCCAAGGGTGTGCCCATTTTTTACGCAGTTTTGATAACTCACAGCCTTCTTTCCATACAAATTTTGAATTTCGTGTCCTTGCCAGCCTTCTTCCGTGGCTTTTTACAGGAATAGTAGGTGAAGGGGTAGCAAGAGAGAGAAACTCTGCACTCCCACTGGAGGCAAAAGTAGGTAGTTATACTGCTAGGACAAAACACTACTTTGGCATGTCCTCTTGCTGTAATGTGTTAATAAAAATAGAGCCATTGTAAAATACTGTGCAGGAAGTCTGACCATTATGGCTTATTGATTCAACTTCATTTCACTGTGTCTTACCTTCCAAATTTCTCAGCTATTAAGGCCTCCTCTAAGGCACCATCTCTCCTTAAGATGTGATATTCTTTCAGACCCATAGGGAGGTCTCTGACACTGGGTTACTGGAAAGTATAGCTCCATGCATATTTCGCCATAGCAGAGCCAGCTTAAGAGGTATTGCTTGCTTCTACTCACTTCCTTCCCATCAAATGCAGTTCCTCCATTTTTTTTTACCTTTTCATGTTTTTATCTTTTCTTAACCTCAATCTCTTCCCCTCAACACAAATCCTGAACAACAAATAGTACAATGAGCTGCAGTGATGATGAAGGGTGCAAGTAGAGAACATCCTGAGCCAGCTTTGCTAGAAAAGAAATGCTTCCTTTCAGTGCAGTTCCACATGTGCATTGCACCTATCACAAATGTTAGCAAAGATGGAAGAAGGCTTGGTTTCATGGTGTGGTTTCCTTACTTGCCTGAAGATTGGCACATTCATGTTACTGCTGTAAGACAAGGTGGTGATGTTCTTCTCCAAAGTCAATAAAAAGATCATTTGCCCAATTATTGGTGTTCAGGTTCCTAGTTACTTGAACAAAGCCTTATTATGGAGAAGACTGTTCATCTTGTCACATACATGGAATTACTGTGCTGCTTGCAAACTAGTCTCCCACGTATGGATGGCGTAGTGTAATTATTATAAAGCAATAACTTTCAAAATATAATTTTTTTTAAGATCTAAGTTGTGGGACTGAGCATGCTGAGAATGCAGTTTCAAGACTGCTTGAGTGTGTGTCTTGCCAATGCTCATTTTTTTCTAACAATGTCCTTCTGATTTTCTTCTTCATTAATCACAGGTTCTAAGTTAGTTCCCTTTTGGAGCTGGCTGCAGATGGGCAGAGATCTTCTTTTTATACGACTGCGATATATGACTGGTGCCTGGCGGCTTGAAAGAAGAAAATGTAATTAGGTTATTTACATTTTCCAAATATATTATTATACTTAATAGAACAGTTAGAACAGTTTCAATCAAGTGAAGTGGTGATGAAAACTGAGGTAATTCTTCATTGCTGCTCTTGTATGTTTCATTTTTGCAGCACATATGTGTTTTGTAAGATTGCCAGCAGGGAATTTGTACATTTTGAAAAGAGAAAGCATTTCAAAAAAGATTTTCTTACCTGGTAATCAAGTTTTTATTTCATTAAATAATAGCTTTAACATGTCTTATAAATTAATTCAAATAAATATATCTGCTTTTGTCTCATCACACTTCCGGAAATTTCCATATACATATTAAAAAGAGGCACTCTATTCTACATTGTGCAGTGTTGTGTTGTGAATGACTACAAACATTTGTTTCTGTGATATCTGGAAATTTTAGGCCATATCGTAATTTGGAATTATCATTCATGGTTTGCACTAATGCATGTTTAGATTCAGTATTATGGGAAACATTAATGGATTTTACTGAGTTATAACAGTAATGTTATACTTTCAGTAGTCTATTGACATTCCAAATGTTTTTGTCTGAAGCTGAAATAGTTTTCCGGAGATAAAACTTCACATCATGTCCAGACTGTAGAAGGTCCAAGAGCAAGCACATTTAGTTTTAAAATGTTGTCTTTTATAAATGTGTTTTGTTCGTGTGTACTAATTATTCCTACCTACTCAAGGCTAGGAGTCCTTAACATATACAGGTCTGAAGTGAAGAGGGTATGGACAGCTAGTTCAGAACATGCAAAAATGAGACCCACTACACACTGGGGGGAGCTGTGCATTAACAATACCAATCTGATGATGTCACACTTCAAATGAGATCAGAGAGGGAGGGAGAGGTCTCGAGTCTTTCATAGTAATGTAATACTGTGTTACAGTACAGTAACATAGTTTCATTTGTGCTTTTAAAATAGTTGTGGATTGCCAACAAACAAAGCCACTCTGTCTTTCAGAAACATGTACAAATTTGAACAGATGTAAAGAATGAATGGTATATGGTTGTACTTTCACATGGAAATTCACTGGTGATTTTTCTTATTCTTTTTGTATTATTGATTTCAGTTTTGCTCCTGTTAGGGTTACCTCAGTTTTCTATGAAGTGCTGGAATAAATTCTGAACAAATACATTCAGTTTGATTTTGCAGGCTTTATTCTCTTGCCTAGTCCAGATACATCTCTGTCACTTCTGCAGAATCAGTAATGGCACTCCTCAGTGCCATCACTAGAATAAAATACCAGCTTCTCAGTTTTTGTAAGGTGTTTCTGTGATCAAACCAGAACAGTAGTAGCTCTGCTCATAATTGAAGTTGCCCACCAGTTTTCAAAAGCAGATTCCCAAAATTTTCCTTATGTCTTACCTTAGAATTGAGCATGTTTAAAATTTTAATGAAAGTAGCTCACCTCTTTCAAATTATGAGGCTTAGGCCATGCGTTATTTTTTGCGTAATAAGTAAACATCTGGTGATGTCTGTAAAGAAATTCTGCTTTTGAAATGTATACCAAAGGTTGGAAGGAGGGTGCTAAATTTATTATATTTTTTTAAATAAATTTCACAAAATCACAGGATAGGGACCTTTGGAAGGGACCTCTGGAGATCATCTGGTCCAATCCCCCTGCCAGGGCAGGGTTACCTACAGCATATTATACAGGAATGTATCCGGGTGGTTTTTGAATATCTCCAGAGACTCTCTGGCCTCCTTGGGCAGTCTGTTCCAGTGCTCTGCCACACTCAATGTAAAGAAGTTCTTCCTCATGTTGAGGTAGAACTTCTTGGGTTTATTTTATGGCCATTTGTGCATATTCTATGAACTTTTTTCAAAACTTTGCAGATAAACTCTCCAGTAACTCTCTTCTCATTGAGCAGTCTCCTTTAGCAACTGTGCATATATCAGGCCAACAAAATTCTTGATTCCTTCTGCCTTAGAGATGTAGAAGTAAGGCCATATTTACAGTCTCGGAGCTTTGTGGAGCTGAGTGCTAGAACTTGTTGGCAGGGAATTCTCTTATTCTTTCAGTGGATTTGAGCCATGGATAAAGGTCACTAGGTGTCTCCATAGTCTATAGAGTCTGCTCTCTGAGGTGGACAGATATGGCACAGGTCACATTTGTATGCCTACATGTCCCTTCTCAGCTACCTTTCAAAGCAGGCTTCCTTCTTCTAAACTGCCTGCTGGGGGTAGTCCTTGACCTGCACTGACTGCCACACGGTGCCCAGAAGTATTTTGGGAGCAGAGATAGACAACTGTGGGGCACCTGCTACAGTGTGGTTTGCTTCTATAGGTGTGGCCTGACACATTCCATTCCAGTGGGGATAAAAGCTGAGCTGGAATTAAAAAAATGAGTAAACTGGGACAGAAGGAGAATGGGAAGAAGTAGAAAAGGAGACTGATCTGAGGCTGAGACTGAAAGTCAGAGACTGAAATAGAAGACTTACTTTACCTGAGAAGGATGGTTGACTTCACCTTCTGTCACTCATGTAGTGATCAGAAGTGTTCTGGGTAACATACCCAGTTCCTACCTTGTATTTGCAGATTATAAAATGCAAGATACACGGGCTGTTACCAGTGGCCAGGACACCACCAGGCACATGCTCTAACAGAAGTTTAGACTCACACTTGGTTTTAGGTTTTTGCTCTTCTCTGTGTTCCTTTAAGCCCAGCATACCTCAGCTGTTGCACAGCAATCACAGAATCAAGGGAAGATTCTCCTAAGCACCATTTCAGAGGCAGATGTACTGGTTTAATTGCACAGAGCCATAAGGAGGAGTGTTCCTGCTCCCTCTACACCTGTTCTTGGGTTGCTTAGAGGCTCCCTCAAGCCACTTCAGCTCACTAGAATGTCAGGCTGCTGTCTTCTACTTTTTTACTATTTTTTCCTTTCTTCTGAGGTAGTTTTCTGCCATTTCAGTGATCTAAAATGACTCCCTGAGTGGTCCAGCAGACACAAGATGCAGCAGCAAGAGGAGGGCTTCCCCTTTTCACAACTGTGTACTCACCACAAGTTTAAAGACTGACTTGTCACCTGAAAGCTGGTACACGTTTCAAGGACAGGAAATGTGAATTTAAATTCTCCCTTTTTTAAGCCTAGATAAGACTTGAGGTCTTTTTGGCCTCTTAAAATAAGACCTTTAACTACTAAGCAAGAAGTCCTGGCTCTGGGTCTTGGTGTATTCCCAAGCCCCCACTTGATTTTATGGAGTGTCGCAACATGGAATGGGAGGCTATGCAGACAACTTCCCTGATCACCAAAGCTGTCATTCAAATCAGTGCTCTGCTTAATTTGTCCTCACTCTTCTCTTTATGGATTTGCAGAGACATATTTGTATTTCAGTGGACTCTTAACCTTTACTATTTCTTCCTACCCTTGCATTTGCAGGGGTGACCCAGGGAGGTGGAAGTCTTCTATGTTACTGTCCTGCATGACCCAACCCTCCAAAGGCACGTCAAAGTATTCTCAGAGACTTTGAAAAGGAAATAAAAACAAATGGAGAAAATCTACATGGTAATATTGCAACATTCTTACCAATATGAGTGTCTGCATAGTTAGTGCATTCATAAATACAGATTTCAGTTTTTTAAACAAGTATTTTTATATCTCTGCATAAAAACCTTACTTTTCTGCACCCTTTGACTAATAGTTCATAAGAGACTTTTTCGAGAGGCAACTTAATATCAAAGAGTAGTCTTTGAAAAATACATGCAGAAAAATTAGGTTACTGAAAAAGCTTCAGGAGTTTACACAAGTTTTCTTCACCCTTGAGGGACACAACTTGTCACTGTTGTGCGTCAGGACTCTGAGCCATTGACCACTATCCTCTGGGTGCAACCATCCAACCAATTCCTAATCCACTTTACTGCTACGGTCCGAAGGGGGCGGGGAGGAGCCACAGCACTGCACAAAAGGGTCCGAGAAGGTTTGAGGTTGTGATGCAATGCTAAGTTTAATGAGGGTGCAGAAGGGTTTTATAAGCTCTGGTATGGAATGCACCAGAAAATGGGATGGAGCGTGAGACAGACAACCAAGAAAACGAGTAGGGATAGGGATTCAGGCAAAGAGGGAGGAACTAGGGAGGAACAGACGAATCATAGCTCTCTCCTTTCTGCAGTCTTCTCAGCCAATCAGAAAGGGAAGCAGGCAAGCCTGGGCAGGGAAATACAAATCTCGGGGAAACATACAGTGTAAATATTTATAAATACATAAGAACTGTAAAGTCTGTCTAATAAGGTCCTTTCAGTTGCTGTATATCTTTTTCCATTCCTGAAACCATTCCCATTCTGATCCTTGTTCCTCCACATCTTAGTCCACCCATCAAGTCCATCACTCTCCAGTTTGGAAAGAAGGGTGTTGTGGAGGACTGTGTCAAAGGCTTTACTGAATTCCAGAGAAGTGACATCTATAGCTCTTCCCTTACCCACTGATGTAGTTACTCCATCATAGAAAGACACTAGGTTGGTCACACAGGATTTGCCCTTGGTGAATCCATGTGCCTTGTTCTCCATGTGCCTTAGCAGAGCTTCTAGGAGAAGCTGTTCCATGAAAAATGCTGATACAAGACAGCACGGATTCTAAATGAAAAGGAAAAAAAGGTGACCGAGACAAATTAAATATTTTGACAGTAATGTACATAAAGGCAATATTTCACGTGAATTATAGGCCACAGACCAACACAGTTCATTATCTTGGAATTCAGTATAACAGCACTTTTAGCTGTTTCGGTTGTTTTCCACTCCCATAGTTGTTTTGGTTTGGGGTTTTTTGTTTGTTTGTTTTTTGTTTGTTTTGTTTTGTTTGGTTTTGGTTTTGTTTGTTGTTTTTTGTTGTTTGGTTTTTTTTAAATAATATTTCTTAATATAACTCAACTGACTGATGGAAAACTTTGAAAGAATCAAGTATAAGTCAAGAATTTCTTTGCCATGGGAGATTTTCCCCATTACAATTTTAATGTACCTCCCTTTGAACTTTTTGTAACAGAATGGGATCAAAGATCTCAGTTATTGTGATATAGCACATGTGTGAAAACACAAGAAAAAACTAAAAGAAAAAAAAATGAACATCTGCATATATTCACAGAGTCATAAAACAGCCCAGGTTGGACGAGACCTCAAAGGTATGACTGGTCCAAACTTTCCCAGTAGATACGAGATGAAAAAAACCTAGATGAGATCATCTAACTCTCTGTCCAGTTACTTGGAAAACCTCAAGACTCTACTACGTTCTTGAGAAGGTTGTTCCAGTGACTGTTTTCAGTTGATGTTGCTCCTCAATTGCCATTA